TGACCTCATCGATGTTTATCAATACATAAAGGGCGAGTGTCAGGAGGACGGAGCCGGGCTCTTCTCGGTGATAACCAATGACAGGGTAAGGGGCAATGGGTGCAAGCTGGAGCATAGGAGGTTCCACAATAACATAAGGAAAAACTTCTTCACTGTGAGGGTGATGGAGCACTGGGACAGGCTGCCCAGAGAGGCTGTGGAGTCTCCTTCTCTGGAGACATTCAAAACCCACCTGGACTCGTTCCTGTGTGACCTACTCTAGGTGGTCCTGCTCTGGCAGGGGGGTTGGACTAGATGACCTTTCGAGGTCCCTTCCAAGCCCTGACGTTCTGTGATTCTGTGATTCTGAGTGTGGTGATAGGATGAGGGATAACAGTTTCAAACTGAAATAGGGGAGATTTAGATTAGATATTAGGAAGAAACTCTTTTCTATGAGGGTGATGAGGCACTGGCACAGGTTGCCCAGAGCATCTGTGGCTGCCCCCTCCCTGGCAGTGTTCAAGGCCAGGCTGGATGGGGTTTTGAGCAACCTGGTCTAGTGGAAGGGGCAGAGGGGTTGGAACTAGGTGGTGTTTAAGATCCTTTCCAACCCAAACCATTCTGTGATTCTATGACATTATGTGTTTGTATACAGACAGAGATTGTTTACTAATACCAACACAGGTTGGTAAGAGGTTTAATTTTACATCGATGAGCACCTGAAGGAGATTGTACATGTTCAGCTAAATTATTTCCAATTAATTTAAACTACTGTCAAGCTCCTGGTGCAAACAAGTGACTCTGTTTACCACGGTGACAGAGCTCCACACAAAGCTCTATTAAACACATGCCCTGAATATACACCTATGCTTTATTTTCACCCAGTTACCTAGATGCATGATTTTACCAACCTTCTTACACAGGTGCAACATCGTCTGTGTCAGTTTAAAAAGGACTTGTGACAGTTTACCTAATGCAATCCCACAGCAACTTCTTCAGTGCTGCTTGTCTCTTCTTTTATAAGTAAGTGCACCTGCAGAGTTTTGATAGTTAAGAAACTCTGATTTTCATCTCTAATAAATGTTTGTAAATCGGTGTTGATTAATAGACGTTTACCATCCACATGGTTCTGTTTTGTAGCTCTGCATTAACAACTACCAAAACAAATCCTCCCGCACGAATGACTGAAGACTCCTGCTTCAATACAGACTTTTTATTGGGAGCTGCTGTATTAATTTCAGAGTAGTCAGGCTCACCCTTTAGCCCAACTATCAATAGCAACTAGGTGAGCCGTTTTACTTTCACATGGAATGCAACCATTTACGAAATAGAACGGAAGAAGCGCTAAGCTTTAAAAAATTAAAGAAAGAGACGGAGAAGGGACCTGTTCCATCTTCTTAGGTAGCTTTCAAAGACAGAGGGACCCTGCTTTTCTTTCTGCTAATTTTACTGTAAACAATCTGCTTCATGCTTGGATTGAAAGTCACTGTTTCTCCAGCCAGGAAACAGACAGCGGACAGGAAGTAGCTTTTATTTTATTTGTCCTATCCGTAAGGATATGGATATCCTATCCTACAATATATACATTGTATAAAATTATTTACGCCAACATGTTCA